GTTCGCTGCACGTTTCAAACTGGAAGGGCGTTGTCAATAAAGCGATCGGTAAATCTTTTGCACAACTTTGCTCGCTGTGGTGACCCCTGCAGAAGGAAGCAGCTGTGAGAAAAACTATTTAAAACACAGAAGTATCCAACATTTTTCAGTCAGGTCATCTGGACACTGACTGAAAAATGTTGGATTGTATACCTGGATTATTGAGCATGGACTTTGTTGTTTTGAACATAAATATCCTGAGCTCTCATCAGTTTCTTAAAAAATGTCATTTTTAAAATCTGCTTCAGCCGACTTGCTCTGCTTTACCATTTCACTACTTTTGGCTTTGAGCTAGCCTTTTGCTGCTTTTAGTTCATATTTAGCTTTTTTAGCTTTTAGCTAGTGTTCTGCTTCTTTTAGCTGGTGTTCTGTTTATTTTAGCTTTACCGTATCAGTTTGAACTTTTTCAGCACACTTCAGCTGAGCCGTGCAGCAGCACCCAGCGTTCATATTACATGTCCACAGAAAACTTTCTGTTTTCTGATGAACTGGAGAAAAAGCAGTAAAGTTGTTTCCAGGCCGGATGAAGTGCTGGACATCACGCAGCAGCTTGGCTTGACTCTCAGATCAGTCTCTCACTGGGGAGACTGATCTGTTCGGCTGCCCTCAGGCCCAGGCCTCCCTTGCAAAGAACATCTGTGATCTCAGTGGATTTGCCTGATTAATAAAGGTTAATAAATAAAAATAAATGAATAAATAACGAGAAAATAAACTGATGTTGAAAAAATGCTGTGATTCTCCTGCAGACCACAGGTTTCTATAAACTGCTGAAGTAATTTTGATTTAAACCAGTTTAAAAAAGCACGAATATCTTAAACCAAAACCAACAGAGCACAAATAAGGACGTAAACACAGTGAAGGTCCCAGATTTGGCTTCTCAACAAGGAATATTCTGTGAAACGTGGCACACTGTACGACGTTACTGGTACTTCAACCCTTCACACTACTTCAGAGCCTTCCATTCATCATGTAACTTGTGTTTCTGTGGATTTGTAGTTCTCAGAAACCTCCGAGCCCGGTGTGAATCATGTTTGTGTTAGGATCTGGGCTCCCCTCCTCACAGATGATGGAGCACTCTGGGAAGGAGGAGACCTCCATTAATAATAATTAGGAGCTTCCTGATCACCTGAAGCAGGCAGCCCATCAGCAATGAGCTTCATCAGTGCTGATTGTTTGGTTGCTCACAGCTTCACACGTTTCATCGCCTCCGAACCCCAACTTTCTGCTCCTACCCTGTTCAGCAGACAGAGATACCCCCCCCCCCCCACACACACACACACATACACACACACACACATAATCCAGCTGTGCGTGTCCTTCCCAAGCTTGATTGCAGCTTTTAGAATGGGAAAGAGACGCTGACTATGAAGGGATGAGCAAGCGGCAGCCGCAGGGAGAGCAGGAGCCGACCCAGGACTGGGGGTGGGGGTGATCCACTCTGAATGCTAATGTGAGGCTTGAGAATGTGCAAACAGGCCCATTGAGATGCAGAGTCCATGTGTTTTCTTATTAAAGTACTGGTTAAAACAGCCCACATCATGAAAGGAAAGGTCAGCGTGGTGCCAGTCAGCTGAGGAAGAAGAGCCGACCACAAGGAATCGTCGCCCCCGTACA